TGGACAGGTCTCCAGTCCATCACAGGGACACCTGGACAGGTCTCCAGTCCATCACAGCATAATGGCTATAACATTATATACTTTTTGTTGTCCAGCTGCTCCTTCTTCAGGTCTCCACAGTGAACTAACTCGCACAAAGACTTTGTGATTGTTTTATGCCAGATGTTCTTCCTGATCAACCACAGACACCGAGCGACCACAGCCTCTGTGTGGAGCAGAGAGCTGCATCTAGGGCGCCCAGAGGAACAGATGGTGGGGGTTAAGGAACTTGCTCAAGGACCAGAGTAGGACAAATGAGGGTGGAGTCAGGGGTGGGTGTTTCACCTTACACCCACATTTTGATGTTGTCTTTCTGGGGAGTTGAACCAGCAACCTTCCAATCCCAGGCCCACCATCTCTAACCTCTGCACCACCACTCTCCTTAAGCTAAAATTCGTTGTGGTTGAGCGTAATGTCATATTTCAAGAACTAGCTGCAACATTTTTGAGTAAAACCATTACCTCTTTGGGTTATTTCTGTCTGTTAGCAAAATATCTCATGGCAATTGCATGGATGTTTTTATGTAAGTAATCATCCAATGTGCATCTACAAAACAAACAACTTTTTGATTTGACCCAGCAGAAGATACCTCTCAACATGAGCCAACACAGAAATGGCTCCGAGGTCATTTTACAGGACATGAACTCAAACTTTTAATTTTGTTGCAGCTGAGAGTTTTTCAAAACACGCAGTCTAACAAACGTCTCGCAGTATCCGTCTTTATTCTTCAATTTACCTTCAAGGGATCATTTTGATCTTCCAAATGTTAGGAACAACTTGGAACAATTCTTGTTGTGGGATAATAAAAAGTAGTCGCTCATCCAAACGTCTGAACCACTGCATTGTGTCTGTTTTGCACAATGACGATGGTGAAGTGGCGTTTTGTGGAATAAATGTCCGTGTAGTTAGTGCTACATAACATCATCCACTGACAATGGAGTGTGGAGGAAAAGACTGAAGTCTTTTTGCTAATGTCTAAACAATGGTCCTTAATTTTTTTAAACTTATAAACAGTATTTTTCAAAAGCTATGTCAGTGTAAAGGTTTGCTGGACTCCTGGTGGACTGACACATCCAGCAGCATCATCAGCATATAATAACACAAATATTACACAACCGTGTGTAACGCCCAGTTAAGAACACACACACAAACTGTAATAGTCCACGGGTTAAGTTGGTCTTGTTCTGGCTCCAACATCTGGGTCTGGGTTCACATCAGGTTCTGCTGATATGCAACAGTTTTTGGTCTAAGACTTCTTCCCAAAACTCTGTGATGTCACAACTTATTCAAAACTTACTGTTGACACCAATTTGACAAAACATCACTTCAGTTCTTGTCCTTTTAAGAGGTCAGTGATCCGTGATGGTTTGGGCCTCCTTGGACCAGCCATTAGCTTGTCGTGGGCAGAACTAAGTTCTGTTTCTCCAAACTGAGGTCGTTTAAAGATCTATCTACATCAATCATTGTTGTCTAATTGTTCCTAACATTTCCACTTCATAAAACTTTAGCTCCTATCAACACTGTCCCTTAACTTAAGTGAACATACCGAGACTTTACCTCTGCATGGACTCAGCTTGAATTTAGATTTAAAAGTGTTCAGAACGTTTCCATCTCCAGCAGCCGACTGTGAAAAAGAAATGTTCAGACTATGCACATAGATCATCGTGCACTAGAACGCTGAGACGTCCAAGTGAGGGAACAGATGAGGAAAGCACATTTTTGTTGAGTAGGAAAGCAGCCAGTGTTTTATTTTGGATTAAAAATCTAGAATTTAAAGAGCACCAACTGAGCTCACTTAAAGTCCACCTTTTATATTTAAAGTCCCATAATTACAGTTTGTTTACTGGCAAGGCTTTGCAGATTTACTGGAATAATGAGTTGTTAAACTCCCATGTCGAGCGTTGCAACTGCAATGGATCATCACCCGAGTAGTAAAAGAGTTAGTGGGGGGAATGATTTAAAAAGAAATAAGACTTCACCAACTAAGTACAAACATGTTGAGATCTTTATAGTAGTGGCTTTTATTATACGACCTCACAGGATTCCCTCCAGAGGTGCCTTTTTTTGTGGGGGGGATCAAACTTTGTACACAACTTTATGTTTACAACAACATCAAAATGTGGGTAGAAAAGGTGAAACACCTGCCTCCACCCTCATTTGCCCCACACTGTGCCTTTGAGCAAGGCCCTTAACCCCCACCATCTGCTCCCAAACAGGTTTCTCTTGAAAATGAGTCCTCGTGACTCAATGAGATTACCTGTAAAAATGAAGGTTAAATTAAAAAATATACGCAAATGTTCATGTTCAGCAGCACGGTGGTGCAACTGGTAGAGCTGCTGCCTCTCAGCGAGCAGGTCCCTGGTTCAAATCCTGGTCCAGGGCCTTTCTGAGTAGAGCTTGCATATTCTCTCTGTGCATGCGTGGGTTTCCTCCCACAGCCCAAAGACATGCATGTTAGGCTGATTGGTAACTCTAAATTGTCCCGGGGTGAGAGAGTGAATGGTTGTTTGTCTCGTTTGTCTCTATGTGTCCCTGTGATGGACTGGAGACCTGTCCAGGGTGTCCCCCGCCCCTCGCACAGTGATTGGTGGACATGGGCACCGGCGACCCCCGTGATCCACAAGAAGCAGGTAAAAGATAATCGATGGATGTAAATGTTCAATCATTGGAGAAGAAGAAGGTCTGATGCTAAACATCGTCAGTGGTTACGCTCCACAGGTTGGATGTGATGGGGAGGAGAAAGATACATTTTGTAAAGATGTGGATGAAGTGATAGAGAGTATTCCCAGGGAGTGATTTGTGACAGAAGTTTGTCAGCAAAGGTCAAAGGACAAGTTGACAAGACAGTGGTGAGACCAGCTATGTTGTATGTTCTGGAGACAGAGACATGGACAAAAAGACAGGAGACAGAACTGGAAGTGTCAGAAATGAAGATGAGGTTCTCCTTAGAAGTGACAAGGATGGAGAAGATCAGGAATGAGATCATCAGAGGTACAGCACAGGTTGAACAACTGGGAGATAAAGTTAGAGAGGACACACTGAGATGGTGTGGACATGTCCAGAGGAGGGACAGTGGTTTGGACATGTCCAGAGGAGGGACAGTGGGTATATTGGTAGAGAGATGTTGGCACTGCAGCTGCAGGTAAACAACAAAGAGGAGATGTATGGATGCAGAGGACATGGAAGTAGATGGAGTGAGGACAGAGGACACAGAGGACAGAGTGAGATGGAGGAGGACCACTCGCTGTGGAGACCCTGAAGAGGGAACACCTGAAAGAAAAAGAAGACTTATTTTTCTGTGTTTCTCAGGGAGTTTTCAACAATTTTAAATAGTTTAAATCAAAGTGTTTTGACGAGACGTCCTCAACCTGCAGGTGTGAAAAAGACAATGACCGTCCATAAAACAGCAACAAAAGATCAATTCTAAAAACACTAATGCAATTAGATACTTTTAGCTACACTTTTGCTACTTTTAGCTTTAGCTAGTGTTGTGCTACTTTTAAATTTGATCTTACCTTTTACTACTTTTAGTCTGTTTATACTTCTATCTTTACCTTTAGCCAAACTTTTTTAGCTTTTAGTTTGTATTCTGCTACATTTAGTTTTAAGCTATCCTTTAGCTTTTAGCTTGCCTTTGGCTACT